CTAATCTATCACCCCTTAACAGGAATACGTGACATTACAAGTCACCCTGTATAAAAGTTGCATAATGGGAGATAATTTATATCATTAAAAGTTCTTAAAAAAAAATCAGTTAAATGGATACCGTTTTTACAACAACTGTTCAAAACTGTCCCCATTTGTTCGATTAACTCAAATTTGAAAACGATATACAGGGTTATCGCAAGTCTCACATTGATTTCACTTGCTGCTGTTGCTGAGTTGTTATATCGTGAAATAAAACTTGTGTTTAGATACATGAGTGAAGCAAGTGAAAAGAGAGGCTTCAAAAGGAAAAATTCTGGATTCAATTTGACTAGAGCCACGTTAGTAGAGTTATTAGAGTTATATGAACCTTATCCCAATTTGTGAGACTGCTCGTCAGGAGCATATAAAAACAGAAATGTTAGAAAATCAGGTACGAACGAAAACCGTCCAGCTGTTGGAATAGCATTTCGCATCTGTATGTATGTTTTTTTTATTGCAAACTTTAACTTGGCTAGCAAATACCGAACTTTCATAACATTTCTGATTTTTCCGTTCTGGTTGTTCTGAAAATGATTTCATGATATCGTTATTTTCTATTTTCTCAATCCAATCTCTCACACAACATTTTCGAAGGCTTTTGTTTATAATACAGGACTTAATAACAAGATATAATAATAACAAGCAGCTGATTTTCTTGTCGGCATATTTATCCCTCAATTGATTTGAACATGATCAATAATTTTATGATGTACTTTACTGTTCCTCTCACTTAGGTACTGTGGTAACAGCTGAGCTCGGAGACGCACTCTCTCATTTGAGAGCAAAAGTTGCAAGTAGCAGATCCCGAGAGTTTCAGAGATATCCTCACGTTCTTTGGAAACATATCTATACTAAGTGACATATAAATCCGAACACCCAGTTTAAATGGTTTTATTTTAATAAAATTTTGTATAAGTACTTAATGAAGCATAATAAGTAAATGATAAAAATTTCAAAATGATTGCACTGCTTTAAAGCCCTTTGACCTTTAATAATGTGTGGATGCACCCTGATGTGCTACGCATTCTCCAACGCGCCTAGGCATGCTTCTGATCAGGTGGTCAATGTCCTCCTGTGGTATCTCATTCCAGGCAACCACCAACTCCTCTCGAAGTGCTTCTCGAGTCTGAGGAGGACGTTGCAAATTGAGCAATCTCCTACCCATCATATCCCACACGTGCTGAATTGGGGATAAGTCGGGAGATCTTGGTGGCCATGGTAACAATGTGACATCATTATGTTGAAAGAAGTCTATTGTGACTCTTGCAACATGTGGTCGGGCATTATCTTGTTGGAAAGTTGGATCTGCCAGGGTGTCAAGATAGGGTAAAAGATGGGGTTCTAGAACTTCGTGGATATAACGCTGTGCGTTCATGTTACCTCTGATGAAGATTAAAGGTGACCTGGAACCATAAGCTATAGCACCCCAAACCATAACTCCAACAGTGTGATGAACATGTCTTTCAACAAAAAACTGTGGATTACTCCTTTCACCACGTCGCCTTCTAACCCTGGCACGACCATCGTGTATGCCTAAACAAAATCGAGACTCGTCACTAAAGACAATACTGTTCCATTCCTGATCCCAGACTGACCGTTGTCTGCACCACTCAAGGCGATTACGTCGGTGTTCTCGAGTTAAAGGGAGGACCCAGTGTGGCCGGTATGAAAACAAGCCAAAACTTCTCATTCGTCGGTAAACACTTCGCATGCCAATAGGTCTTCCGTGTTCTGCAAACCATTCATTTGCAATGGACCTGGTAGTGGAGAAACGGTCCCTTAAGGACAATAATCTTAAGCGGCGATCTTCACGGTCTGTTGTTCTACGGCGGCGTCCAGTGCCCCTTGCTCTTTGCGTACGGCCTTCTTGAAGCCATGCCTGACAACACCTAACCACAGTGTCTACACTTCTTTGCACTCTAACTGCAATTGCCCGAAAAGAAAGTCCAGCTTCCCGAAGTCCCACACTATACGGCCCCTCGAACTCACTAAGTTGACGAAATCGTACAGGTCTCCGTACTCTAGGCATCGTAACCGATCGTAAAGGATGTCAAGAACCAAAATCCGCCAACGTTGATTCTTTACTGCGGCTGAAATATTCATTTATAGAGCGTTAGTGAATTAAAAAAAGCAGTATAAAAACCGGAATGTCCAACTGATAAGGTTGAAAATTTTTTCACTTGTTATTTACAGTAAGATAAATACATTCACCAACTTTTATTAAAATAAAACCATTTAAACTGGGTGTTCGGATTTATATGTCACTTAGTACAAGATAAATTTCTTACAAGACAAAAATCTCTTGAGATTTTAGTCTCCTTGTGGATGCTTAGCTATACGCTGTAAGTTATATAAATACGAGGGATGTCTTTTAAGTTTTGCATATGGAAATAAAACAACACGGTAGGTAGTTTTAAATGCTTTTATTGTTTTTCGAAGGAAGATTAATACACATCTAAATGTGCTCGAACCAATTTTCGAAGCACTTATTCCACTCGTTTGCTGGCAGATCCAAAACGGCATTTTTGAATACGTCAACTGCTTCTTCTGGTCAGTGGAACCTTTAACCACGCAGTCTGTTTTTAATTTTCGGGAAAGTAAAGAAATCGTTAGGACTTAGATCGGCCCTTTATGGAGGATAGTCCAATAATTCCACGTTTTCTTCTGTTAAATACTGCCTTGTTTTTTGGGCTGTGTGCATTTTCTTGGTGGAGGATGATTCTTCCTTTGGGGTTGATTTTTCGAAGCTCGGTGATGACTTTTGGCAAACAAATGGTGGTATACCAATCCGCAGTAACAGATATTATAATTGTTGACTGATGTGGGGCTTTGTTGCCGAAAACACACAGTAACTCAGCAAGGCGTTCTTGTTGCGATAATTGTTTCTGAAAGTTGTAATAAATTATGGCGCGAAAATGTTCTCGGTTGAGTTCCATTTTTCTAATGACTTGGTGTCACTTACAAATTCACTGTAGTGAGAACATTGCACGTATTGTTGTGAAACTTTGAATTTAAGTTTACTAAAGAGTGAGGTTAAGATTCAGTACTGACGTTCGATCCTCGCGGCCTACTATGTTTCTATATGGAAAACTTGAAAGACATCCCTCGTAGCTCTCTATTTTTTAGGTTGTATCAAGTCACATATCCAAACATTTCTTGAATCTTGGTATCCTTGTTGATTGCTTATGAATTCTGGTCTAATTTTCTGATAATTAAATTCTAAAAAAAATTTGAATATGGAAATGTAACGTTGGTTCGAGACCCTCAAGCCATTTTAGGGTAAGAATTTGTAGGGGAAGCGCAGCAAATTAATTTAAAATCACGTCGAAGTGGAGCCACTGGGGTTTTCCAGTTATAATTTTTTCGGATTTACATCTGCAATGCGCACTGCCTATATTTTTAATTTTTTGCTTGCTGTGCTGCTGTACCGCCTTAGGCTCGCACGGGATAATTGGATTTTTTGTGTCTCATCTTCCTTTCCTGGTATACTAAAATTATTCAACATGTTAAGCGAAATGAACGCCTCACTACTTTAAAACTCCCTTCGAACTTCTTCTTTTCGAAACATGCACGCTGCTTCGTACCGGGTCCTTCCGAGTTCAAGAGATTATGTTGAAAATCTTGAAATTGGGTTAATGTTTTTTTTTTAAACTCAATCTGGCAATTTAGCTTACTAAGCTTAGAGTGAGACTAGGATAGATTAATATATTATAATTTTTGGCATCACCAACTCATTGAGTTCTGCAAAGGTGCAGAACGGCCAAAACTTTTGTCTTAACAGAAAAAAGCAATAGTAATTTGATCATTATTTATTTTCAAACAACACCGGCAACGCTGCCCCCGCAAGACACGGCGTCGAGTCTGTTTTGTACTGAGAAAGCATTATAATCGACCAATTGTGTACTTGTCATTTTCGTCGCGACCGCAGCGTAACATTATTCATGGGCCACTTGAAAAGGGTCTGTGCACTACTTCGACTCAAGCCGCACGCGCTTGCTTTTGTCTCTTTCTACAAAATCAAATGCGCGATTTAAGCATAACCATGTGCTGCACGTTATAGAGATCCGTACAGATCTAATGCAAATTACGATATCTGATTGGTCGGTCGGTCCTCGGCGGTGTTGGCATATTGGTCATGTAGCACGTGACGTGGCTTAAAATTGCATTGCTATGCGCATCAGTTAAACCTGATTATGTCCCATGCTGCTTCCGCAAATGGTCAAGTTCGGGTGTTCTTTGGGGATTTGAAAGATATTCCGGGATTTTTTAATGATTCCCCTCAACGCGTAGAGGTACTGAACAGAATTGTGGGGAAAAATTCCCCAAGGAGCAACAACTCGTTGGAATTTTATTATTCGAACAATAAATGTAGTGTTTGAGAACAGAGAATCACTCATTAAATAGAAGAAAATTTCACTAATTAAATGTTTGCAAGTCAGCTTGCGGTATTCGCCGTATGTTAACCGATTCTGTTTTCGTGTTTTGGTTGACATTTTTTCATCATGTCATGCCTAACATCCTCAACCAGTTGCAGAAGAGAAAAACCGAGCCAGTGCAAGTTAAAACGGCTACCGATAATTTTGAACAATGTATTGTCGATGTGAGAAATAAAATTGATGACATAATAAATGAAGCCAAAAGTATTTGCACTGAACCCCAAGTCAACAAAAGGAGACGACGTAATAATATCAGTCACGATCACCGAGTTGCCGCATTAGAAGTATGCGACATGCAAATGACAGATTTCAATTCATAGATCATTTGGTAGCCGCATCCCTTTTTGGAGAATACTGTCGTAAGTTTCCTGATGACAAGTTGGAAACTACCTGCTTGGCTTATCCCGAATTAGAAAAAAGTCGTTTAAAGATAGAGTTGTCTGTTATTTATGCACGGAATGATTGCCGAGATTTACATGGAACTCCGTCTCTTTTGAAATTTTTGATACAAAATAGTTTGGGGGAAACACTAAAAGAAACAAAAAAGCTATTAGAAATTATTGTTACAACTCCTATGTCAACATCAGAGGCTGAGCGAAATTTCTCAACATTGGCAAGAATCAAGACTTTTCTTCGAAATACTATGACCCAGGATCGCTTTACAGCGTTGTCGATGCTGTCCATTGAACAGGAATTCATTTCAACCATGGAAAATTTCAACGGGAAGGTGATCGACCAGTTTGCTGCCAAGAAGGAGCGCAGGATCGAACTGACATATAAAAAATAGGTAAGTTCGGATTTGCAGAACACCTGTTTTATTTTTTCACGAGCCGCCACTGCCAACTGATATTTCCGCACTTGGCAACGTTGCCGCTTATTGTTTAGTGGATAATCCATTGGTAATTACACATATTTCAGAACTAACAGTTAAATGTGAATAACAACAAGGCAATAAACAGTCGTAAAATGCAAGAAAAGTCGAATCAAACAGAGTTTCACATCTGTAATCATCTCGTCTGTGATTAGAGCCAGTTTCATTTGTGTTAGAATAGTAGACATTTAATTAGTGTTCTTTATTCATTGTCTATTTGAAGTTCCTTCAAGCAAAAAATGCTGAATATTTTTAATATTTACAAAGTCATTTTACAATTTTACATTCGAAGAGCAGAATGCTCGTCGTACGACTTGGTGCAGAAATATGCTGGAAATGTTTGGTAAGGGGTCTTTGGTGTAGCCGTTAGAAAATCCCGATCTGTTAAGAAAACAATGATAGCTGTATGTTTCAAATCGAGCGGGATTGTGGAGCGTGTCGTTTTGAACACACAGAAGATAGTTACAGCTAAGTGGTACACGGAACAGGGCCTGCCTAAAGTCACAGAGTTTATGAAAAACCTGCACTGAGTATTCGACCACTACTGGAGGGTTCCTTACAGTCCAGATCTCGCTTCCTGCTACTTTGCACTGTTTCCGCATGTGAAAATGAAGCTAAAAGGAAAACGGTGTGCCGCACTCTCGGGTAAAACTTTGGCAGAGCTGGTTTAAGGATTGATTTTGGAGGATGGAAAAGTATTTCAAAACTTTCATAGTACCTTTTGATTGTAGACAAAACCTGCAAACGTGGAGCTCGCTCGGTACAGTGTTGCCATTGCTCTCAGGCAATGGCAACACACTTAGCTTTTTGAATGACAATAACGTTTCTAAACCGTATAAATAGCTAGCTGTGACGTCATTTATGGACAATTACAGTCCGGCTTTCATCTATTTTGTTTAGTTTTTTGGGATAACTGGAAAACTCTTTGGAATTTCAACCTTATAGCAAAAACCGGCAATACAGCACATGGTACTCTGACATATGACGTACGTAACAATGCAACATTTGGATCCACGACGTGATTTGGAATGATGCGGATGAGAGCATCGGATGCATCTCATAAGTAGACATCGAACGAGTAGGTACATTCATCCTGTTTAGAGTACTGGGTGTTATAATACCGAAACTTGAGTGTAAAACCTGAGCGAACTTCAGTTTGTTCTTCTATAGGACCGGCTTCGTCTGTATGTTTAGCAGCCGCGAAATTAGCCCACCGGCAAGGAAAAGGGGCGCCTTTGCGGTAAACAACGCCCCAGGGACTGGAAGATATGCCGAGTGGCAAGATGTGCTTTCCATGTTGGAGTTGAGAAATGATGTTAACGTCAGCTAGGTTTCGCCGCGGTATTGTTTTGCTTATCGAGCCGTCTAATTATTATAGTGATACTCTGTATATGATACAGAGTGAAGCTCTCTGTACAGGGTGGTCAACTAAGAAAAAAGTGTTAACTAAAAAGAACCAAGACAAAAACCTGCAGAGGTGGTGTTTCTGTATAAAAATAACTGCTCTTTAAACTCGAAGATAATGTGAACTTTTTTGCTTGACAATTTTTGCTGTACCTCTAAAAATAAAGTGGTGGGGGTATTCAAAAGTTTCCGTAAGAAACACCCTGTATCTTCGAAATGCCTGAGCTGATGTTAACAAACCTGGGTCAAATGAAAAAAGCCATTCTTGAGCTACCAATGTTATAATATTTGAAGTCTTGTTAGTTTCACATGTGGCAGCTGGAGAGCTTTTTTCGACATTGCTGCAGAAATAGTTCATTTCCTCAAAAAAATTGGATGCATTCTTATGATTTTCTTTATGAAAAAATAGCTAAATGATGTCTCAAAAAGCTCGATATCTTGTTTCTAACCTGAAGTTAGGCCACTGAAAATTTATACGGAAATTCATAAACCTTTTATTTTTTAAACTAATTTTTCAGGAATTCTTTTGTATTCATCATAATTACATCACCTTTTTTGAAAATACTATAAAATATCTCTAAAAGGTAGTACGGTACAATTTTTTGCTTTTTGAATAAAAAAACTGATCCTTCGCACTTTTCAACATAAAAAAGCTCTCTTGTGAATTTTCGTTATAGTTAGCCGTTTTTGAGATAATTCGATTTTTAAGGTTCGATGCATTTTTAATTATTTATGATGAAATAACGTTAAAAAGTCAGTATCTCGATAATTTTTAGAAGTATGCTGTACCTGCAAATATTTTTAAAATTGAAAGCAGAATAAGGTTAAACGTGAATTAGTTGACAATTTTGTTGTCTGTTGAAACCTGAATCGTTTTTTGAAATTGTGAATTCACGAAATTTAGTTTCTTTTACCTGTTTTTTTTGTAAGTTTTATAAAAATGCCATTTTTATTCTCCAACCAAGAGTTAGCGGATATTCATTTTGTGTATGGCTTTGTAAATGGAAAAGCAGCAGAAGCAGCCAGAGAATACGCACGAAGATTTCCAAACAGACGACATCCAACTCGCTCAGTATTTGTAAGAGTGCATCGCCAAATAATTGAAAATGGTTTTGGAAATCTCCAAGGGGATCAAAACATAAATGTTCGTCAGCGCAGATTTACCCGTATGATTCTGCGTGAGTTTGATAGCGATCCGACCACAAGTGTTAGAAGAGTTTCTGGTGCCTTGGGAATTTCAGCAAGCCATGTTCACTGTGTTCTTAGAAATGACCATAGACGCCCTTACCATTTGCAACCTGTGCAAGGACTACAGCCAGGGGACGGAGAACGAAGAATCACATTTTGTCAGTGGATTCTTGATAGAACTGATAATAATAGGGAGTTTTTAAGTAACGTTTTATGGACCGATGAGCCATGCTTGACTAGACGTGGAGTGGTAAATTTTCATAATCAACATATTTGGTCGCATGAAAATCCGCATGCAGTTCGGGAAAGAAATTTTCAGCATGAATTTAGTGTGAACGTGTGGATTGGTATCCACCGTAATCCACTATTTGGACCCTACCTTTTGCCCGCAAGGTTAAATGCTGCGACCATCTTGGAATTTTTAAAGGCTGAACACGCAAATATGTGGGATGATGCTATGTTAGATTTAAGAAGATTGGCCTGGTTCCAGCTTGATGGTTGTCCAGCTCATTATTCGAGAATAGTTAGAAACTGGCTGGACGATAGTTATCCAGAAAGATGGATCGGTCGTGGAGGACCAGTCGCCTGGCCTGCACGATCCCCTGACCTAAATCCATTAGATTTCTTTGTGTGGGGATTTCTAAAAGAAAAAGTGTACCAGACTCCCGTAGCCACAAGAGATATGCTAATAGACAGAATCAGGAATGCATGTGATGAAATAAGGCCTTATTTGAATCATGCTATACCACGTTCGATCATTCGTAGATGTGAATTGTGTATTGAACAATTGGGTTTACATTTCGAGCAACTACTTTAGATTTTGTATGTTTGTCCTAACTATCCAATAGCATTTTAGTTGTAAATAATTAATTTAATTTGTAAAAAATAATATTGGAAGATTAAACAAATTAATATTCTGTTTTGTTGTGTTTATTTGGAGTTAGGAATTATTGATGTGTTTAAAAACACAATCTAAACGATCATCTTAATTACTTGTAATGCCCAAATCGAAAATGTAAAAAAAAAATATTATTTTCCCATAAATAATTAAAAATGCACCGAACCTTAAAAATCGAAATATCTCAAAAACGGCTAACTATAACGAAAACTCACAGGAGAGCATTTTTATGTTGAAAAGTGCGAAGAATCAGTTTTTTTATTCAAGAAGCAAAAAGTTGCACTAAGAAAAAAATTTCGGTCATTTTAATACACAACAGGTACAGTAGAGAGCGCCCTCTAGCGGCTACAGTAAAACTATGAACATGGTTCGTTTTGTCGTACCGAAAAACATTTGTATACCAATTTTCACTGTTATACATCAAATAGTGTTCGAAATATTCAAAAAAGTATTTCGGAAGCCACGCATTTTTCGACCCATGTTTACGTATATATAGACTTAATGCATTAATTTTGAAAGTTCTATCGAATCTTAAAGTTATGCAACAATAAACTGAAACACCCTGTATAATCACCGCTTTTATTTTGCATGTCTTAAAACCCCCATGTACCATGATAATAAGAAACTCAATAATAAAATGCTACATAGACAATGGGTATTAATATGTACATCCCCTTGTATTAGCATCAGTAATCAATATTGCTTCAGGTCGTTATCCAGGTTCCCTCTAAATTTTACACAAGCCATTAGATCGGGTTGTATATGTCTGTAAATATTTAGTGGGTACACAGAACACGGATATTGCATATGCGTGGTGCAAGATTTGCCTGACCGGTGTTTGGTCACGCGAAATGTGTCAGGTGCTTGCTTGCTACCGATTAGAACGATTCACAATCAAATTATGCGTGGAGCCATTGCTCTTCACAGTCAGGGATGCTGACGAGTCAATTTTTTTACCCATTTCAGTTTTCTTACTATTTTCGCTCTCTCTGTATATATTCTAGTGTATAGTCAACGCCAAACAAAGTGGCGTGCACGTCATCACGATAAAAATTCCCCGACCTAATGCCTAGGTTTCTATCACAAACAATTGCTCTATTGCAGTTTCATATTAATGTGATATATAAATTGTAAAATGGTCATTACTCTCTTATTATGGTTAATAGTCATATAAACATTGTTATTAAAATATCACATAAGTTGCTTTCTGATAAATTTAGACGCATTATGCGAAATAAAATGTTTTGCAAACGCTCCAATCACTTATCGACATGTAAACGCACTAAACCGATTTCGCAGCGTTGACACATTGTCACCTTGAAACTTATTTAAACTGGGAACTGACATTTGTATTAATTTTGACACTGAATCAATTTGTGGCATTTCAAATCTTTATAAATCCTTTGGCCCCGCATACTGTAAATCAACAACTGTTTGTTTCAAAACAAAATTATTCATTTTACGAGTAGATAAAGGCAATTTTGGTATATAAAGATGCCCAAACAGTTAAATAGTCGGTGTAAGGAACTCGTGGCCTCGTTAATGCACTACTTTGAGCAAGAAAGGGACAACAACGGG